CCCCTGTATCAGACTATCAGTCCATCAAGTTCAGTATTGTCTACTCAGACTGGCAGCAGCTCTCCAGGGTCTCAGCTAGAGGTTTGTCACATCACCTACTACCTTGTCCTTTTAACTGGAGATGCTGTGAATTGAACCCAGAGCCTTCTGCATAACTACATGAACACAAGAAGCTGCCTTATCCTGAGTCAAACTATTGGTCCATCAAGGTCAGTCGTTTCTACACAGTCTGCGAATGGCTCTCCAAGGTCCCCCTCCCAATAGCTAGCAATCCAAAACAGTTCAGTGGAGCCTGAGTGGTGGGTGTTGCCTTCTGACACACTTCCAGTGATGTCAGGGGGTGTGGTATATGCAAATAAGTTATGCTAATGAGTTATACTAATGAGCTCCTGCACCTCTTTTTCTACGAAATGGCCCCTGTATCAGACTATCAGTCCATCAAGGTCAGTATTGTCTACTCAGACTGGCAGCAGCTCTCCAGGGTCTCAGCTAGAGGTTTGTCACATCACCTACTACCTTGTCCTTTTAACTGGAGATGCTGTGAATTGAACCGAGAGCCTTCTGCATAACTACATGAACACAAGAAGCTGCCTTATCCTAAGTCAAACTATTGGTCCATCAAGGTCAGTCTTTTGTACACAGTCTGGGAATGGCTCTCCAAGGCCTCAGGCAGAGGTCTTTCACATCACCTATGGCCTGGTCCTTTAAAACTGGAGATGTTGGGCATTGAACCAGGGACCTTCTGCATGCCAAGCAGATGCTCTCCCACTGAGCCACAGTCCCTTTGCAAAGTATGGTGAACAGGAAAAAAAGGAGAAAGTCATTTTATGGGCCAGCTGATGATCAATATGGGCCAGCTGATAAGCCAGTTTGGTGTAGTGGTTAAGTGCGCGGACTCTAATCTGGGAGAACCGGGTTTGATTCCCCACTCCTCCACCTGCATCTGGCTGGATGACCTTGGGCAAGCCATAGTTCTGTCAGAGCTGTCCTTGAAAAAGAGCAGTTTCTGTCAAGAGCTCTCAGCCCCACCTACCTCACAGGGTGTCTGTTGTGGGGAGGGGAAGGGAAAGGAGTTTGTAAGCCGCTCTGAGACACCTTCGGGTAGTGAAGGGCAGGGTATAAATCCAATCTCTTCTTCTTCAATAATAATAATAAGAAGAAGAAAAAGAAGATTGTGGAGAATGTTGAAACACAAATGATTTGGTAGTTCCAATTACAAATGAATAAATGCCTAGAGCCAGGGGTCATTTCCTGCAGGAGCGCACAGGAGCGGAGCTTCGGCAGTAAAGAGCCCAGGGGGCAGGCACATGCAACAAGCCCCACCCCCTTCTCCCAGTAGCCCTCAGTCAGAGCAAGAAGCAGTCAGGTAAGTTGCAGAGCCCCCCCCCACCTGCCCCGGTCCAAAACAGTCCAGTGGTACCTTTAAGACCAAGTTTTATTCAGGTACAAGCTCTCCCTCCTCTGGGAGGACAGATCTGCACGTCCCCCCCCCCCAATAGCTAGCAATCCAAAACAGTCCACTGGAGCCTGAGCGGTGGGTGTTGCCTTCTGACACACTTCTGGTGATGTCAGGGGGTGTGGCACATGCAAATAAGTTATGCTAATGAGTTACGCTAATGAGCTCCTGCACCTCTTTTTCTACAAAATGACCCCTGCCTAGAGCCATAATACCCCTGATAACACTAATGTAGAAGAAAATGAGAAATAGGGTTTGCAGTCCCTGAACACAGCCGAATAGAAAAGAAAGAACAGGAGAAGATCACAAAATACTAAGACCAACGAATAGAGTTAGAGCGCCTCTGGGAGAAGAAGGTGACCATTGTGCCAGTTGTCACTGGAGGCCTTGGAGTGGTGCCTAGAAGTCTCAAGAAGCACCTGGACATTCTGAGCATTGAGCAAATAACCCCAGCTCAGCTCCAGAAGACAGTGTTGCTTGGAACAGCAAGAATCCTGTTAAAAAAAACCTCTGGGATTCCCAAAACCTTGGCTAGATCTCAGAATTCAGAACACCATCTACCAGTCACATCGCTGACTGTGACAATGCATAATCATCATCATCATAATGATTATGATAAAAATAATAATATAACCAAGTCAGTTTAGAGAAATGCATTAAGCAAAAAAGTAAAGAAATTAGTGTGTGTATTAAAACCATCTAATGCACCTTTCTCTGACAAACCAAAACAGAAGTGGCTTCTGAAACCAATAATTCCAGTGCAGAATGCCATTACCCTGACCTCGATCGCTCAGGCTAGGCCGATCTTGTCAGATCTCAGGAGCTAAGCAGGGTTAGCCCAGGCTAGCATTTGGATGGGAGACCTCCAAGGAATACTAGGGACATGACAGGCAGGCAAGGGCAAACCACCCCTGAATACCTCTTGTCTTGAAAACCCTAAGGGGCTGCCATAAGTCAGATGTGACTTGATGGGGAAGGAAGGAAGGAAGGAAGGAATAGAAGAGGAGGAGGAGGAGGAGGAGGAG